AATTAATTAGATTTACTAGATTAATATAAAATTTTTAATTTAATAATTGATTTTTAGAAATATAAATAAAAAGATAAATTTTGAAACATGTCTTTCAAAAAAAAATTTAGAAAACAAGCTGCAAAGTACATTTTTCATTTCATTGATTTATAGGTTTATTCTATATCTTTAATGCACAAAATAAGAAAACTATAAAAAGGAAAATGCCTTTAAAAAAAAAGGAAGTAATATAAGAATAATTTTTTATATAATTTTATATATTATTAAATAAATAAATATATTTAATGATATAAATTTTAAATAAATAATAGAAGTTAATTATTTAAATAATATATAAAATTATATAAAAATTAAAAAAAATTATATTTAAATAATTTTCCCCGAATTAAAAAAAATGCTTTCCGTCTTCTTCACGCAATTTTTTTGGGAACGTGCAATTCAGCCCCTCTACTATAACTGTTATGGCAGATCAACCCCTTTACTAAGATGTAGTGCAAATTGACCCCTCTAGTAACCAAACCCTGCAAATCAACCCTTATGTTATAGAAGATGTCATAAAACAACATTTTACCATCTGATTCTCTAATGCCCCGTTAAAAGAAGATGATGTGGCACCCATTTGGACTCACACACCACCTATCGATATCTTTTTCTTTTAGTGTGGCATTTAAAGGATTAAAATTTTTAATTCTTCACAATATAAAAGAAAAAAAAAACCCTAATCCAAAAAAAATCCCTAATCCTTCTAATCCAAACCCAGAAGCTTATCCTAGATTCGTACCCAAAAACATTTGCTCTTCTTCTCCTCCCCTTGCATCATTGGTTGAAGGGCATGTGGGTTCCTTGTTGGCGTCGTGAATATGTAGCAAGCTTGGATCTTGAAATAGTGGTGGACCGGTGGTGAGTTTTGTTCTCATGTGAGTTGGGTATGTTTATTGGGTTTGTTCTCTTTTTTTATGGGAGTTTGACTTCTATTGAAGATAGTTTGAGAAGTTTATACGAGGTTTGTGGGCTTTTTAATTTTTCATCAAAGAATGCATGAGTTATATTTTACTTATTTGTTTTCATTAAAAATTTAGACTTTTTACCTTCTTGTAATGTGAATGATCCTCCTCTTGCCACCTCCTTTGATGCCTAAGTCCCAACTTTAGCAATCATCGAGTTGATGTATCCTAACCCACTTCTTTAAATTTACTCTTTTATTGTATTTTTTTTTTTAAATTATGGGAATCTATATATTATGTTTAATGGTTAAAGTGGAAATTATTTTTTAAAAACAGAAGCGATTAAGATTAAGAGAGAATTCTCATATTCTTGGTTTTATTCAAAAATTTGACAATTTGAATGATAACTTTTCATATGTTATTAGAATCTTTTTGGTATTAATCTTTTGGTATCTAAAAGTTACATTAGATTTTAACTAATTTGAAATTGAGTTGTATTGAATCTCATAA